AAAAAAAAAAAAAAAAGAGAAGAACTACTGATTTCAAGTTTCATCCCCTTCTAAGTTCGTGTTAGTGCTAATGTCAAACCAATCACGACCCCATAATAACAATAAAAAATGTGTTAAACTATTAGCTTGAGAAGGGAATGCCGAGAGAAAACTTGTTAGGTCATGTCAAATACATAATTCAAAATCGAAAACATTCAGTAGTCATTCTTATCTATGTGAAATAGAATGGGCATCTTGAAATCTCACGAAACGAATCAATGTCAATTATATTGCTTAAAAAAGCAACAGAATGCTGATCTAAGTGCAACACATATTTCTCCATACTTCATGCCAATTTGAGACCTATGGGTGCATATTTGTTCTTCTTTTCCACCCTCCCATTATCCTGTTGTAGAACTGTGTTTACATTACTGGTAACGCATCAATTATGTTACAGCTGAAGTGATCATAACCCAAAAATCACAATTCCCACAGACCATTTTTACCTCATATCCTCCATAAATCAGACCCATAAATTCGCTCATACAATTGCGATGGTAGTACGGAGGCCGGAAAGTATGTTCAGCAACCAACCACCGAGGAGGGAATATGACAAAATCAACCAATGCCACACCAGGTTTATCAGTTGGTGCTGTCAATACTGCTTTGCAATGCACAATATATCAACAGAAGAAATGTCAAACATGAGGTAGCAATAAAGAAAAAGCGGACAAGGTTCCCTTGAAAAATGGGAAACCATGGGAACAAAATTCACCCACCGGTATTTATAGATGGATCACTGTGATCAAGCAAAACGGTATTGTAAGGGCAGAACTTGCTCAGATCATACTGCAAGCAGTAAGATTTCACTCCATTAGGTTTAAGAAATGTTAGTTTACCCTTTTACCTACAGAATATAGGTAAAAAGAGCTACTCAAATGTAACCATTCTTTATCTTAATAAATGAAAAATGGTTAATACGGGAAACGGATACCAACCTTATAAGGAACATAATTACCATGCCAAGCAACCACATTGAATGGAGAGAAATCTTGTTTGGCAGTGAACAGTTCGCCACCAAATTTCTGTACAATGGTGTATCCTGGGTGGAAGGTTTGTTCAAACCAGGCGGTGGGAGCAAAGAAATCCCTTGGAGCAGCAAGACCATTAGCACCTAGACATTATCCCCAAGAAAAAAAAAGCATTGTAACTATAGAAGGATTGTATTTGGTTAATCAGATAATCTGCTGTCCTTTTGGTTGAAAACAACGGAGATTTTGCACATTTTTACAGTAACTGTTAATGCAGAAGTTATTTACCTATTGGTCCAAGATCAGGGAGCTGAAAATGGGTACCAAAAATCTCAGCAACATAACCACGTGATGGGCCATCAGGCAAGTTAACGACGAAACGGAATCCCTGGGGTAAAACAACTATTTCACCAGGAGACACTTGCAATCTTCCACATTCTGTGGTAATCCACAACCCTGGATGACCAGTATAGAGAATCAAAAAACAGGTTTCATAGTGGTGCAGTTCTAGATATAATGCTTATTAGAAAATACTGAGGTCAAGCCTCAACTAGGAACAAGAAGAAGACAACCATGGTTGAACATGAACAAACGAAAGTTAAGTTGTTGGAAGCACCAAGGAAAACTAGGAACTAATTCTAAATGAGCTGGATTCTTGTATAGGTCAAGAATATGTCATGAAAATAGAGCCTGCTTTGGTTAGGAGCCAATAAGGAATAAGTCTGGAAAAAGAAACACAGAATAAGGGAGGAACTTCTGGCAATTTACAGGTTTTCTTTCTAGGGTAATCTTTTCTGAAGATGGAAGGAGGCCTACTGTTATAATTTTGAATATCAAGGGCAGCTATGTCAATATTGAAATGTCAGAAAGTGGCCGGACAGTTCCTATAAATTCCAGGGTTGTTTGTAATTTAACCCCTATAATATCTATTTTCGTTTAACATCATCAATCATCTGTTAGCAATTCCTTCCAGTAACTAGAAATTGTGTTTCACTAGTACATGACAAAGACCAGACATTCTAATTTATCACTCTTTACGCAAAGCGCAGCCTTGCCACAGGCTAAGACTGGATGGGTCAAAATAAACATACATAAACTACTACTGCAGAGTCAAACTCACAAAATTAACTACGAAACAAACCGATGATGATCACTTACTTCCTTTTTGAGGAACTATCAAAAAGTCACCATCAGCATTGCAGAAAGCACAATTGTCCATTGATTTGTTGGCAGAGTACCTACAATTAACACATACCTCTGCATGTCAAAAAGCACAGTACACAAGATCATCTACCATTGACTCCATCTCTGGATTCAAGAGCACAAAAACCTTCCAATATCAAACGCTGTTGTAAAATAACAACTCCTTCACAGGAAAATGCCAGGACCCCCGATAACAACGGCAGGCTAAAGTTATGAGCACAAGGTAGTTGAATCATGTATACTTGAGCTATTTTTCCCCAATTCTAAACCTGAACGTGTTTTGTTCTGATAGACCATAAAATGGCATTGCTTTTTGCAATAATGTCGCTGAAGATTACCACAAGTATTCTGAGCAACGTTATTTATGTTTCCCCCGTGAACAAAAGACTTTCCATGCAATTACAAATATATAACGAACTTTCATGTGGCTTGCAAGTGATGTTGTCCAGATAATTTCGTATATATTTTCTCTACCAGCATACATATATGCATACTGCATGATGAAGACTTTTGGTTTCATGTTGGCTGAAGTTCTTCATTCTTCTGAGTAGGCAAAAAAACCAAAAAAGCAATCCTGTTTCCAAAAACGAGTGGGGCAAAAAATGACTGACACAAAAGACCTAGGAGTCCACAATTGTACACTTGAACTGCCTACCCTCAGGCAATTATCAAAAATTTGTTTTGGTAAATGCTTTTAATTAGCTCGGAAAATGAAACATTTCAGAAACAAAAAATAGAGAAAAAAAACTTAGAATTTTGATTCCAAAACATTGGCCAAAACATTCTAAATGTTTCAAAGCATGCTGAAACAAAGGAATTGCGATTTTGGTGAAACTTTTCAGTCATTTCATAAAAACAAAACAAAACAAAATTTTGATTTTTTCCCTCTGGCCAACATCTGCCAAAAATACATTTACGAAAGCAAACCAACATAACCAACTCTGACAAAAATAAGATAGACCACAAGAAAAACACAGTGAAAGGCTGATTGTGATATATAACCAGTGACGAAATAAGTCTGGAATACCAATTACATGTGAATGGCAAAACCATGCCGCAGGTATGAGCTGCCAGCCCCACATACAGTGTACAACCCATCAATGAAATCAGTTGGTTCTTCTGGGATTTCAACAGGCTTCCATCGTAGCTGAGTTGGAGTAGCAGAACTATTGGAGTGGTTAAATTCGCTCACGAGCTTGCCATGACTTGGGACTCTAGGTTTAAACGGTTCATGTGTGACCGATGGCTTGATCCGATACAGCCAACTGTTGAAAAAGATAACAGTTAAAACCAATCGCAGTAGGTATATGGCTGATTTTTAATTAAGCAAAAAAGTAGATATTTTTGTACGGGTAAGAAGTAATAACCAGATAAAGTGCAAAATATTATCAGATGTAGCAAGTAATACCAGGTAAAAAGTAACACTAATAACAATAAAGCTTTTATTTGGTTCAATGAAAAACTTTTCTCGGAACAAAATTACATATGTCAAACGTAAAGAGATAATAAAGCTTAGAAAAATTCTCTGCAATTTACAACAATACAAGTCAAGATAAATGAAGAATTATATTTCACATTTGTCCACAATCTATTACCAAATTGGAACAGAATCAAAACAGGTTCTTATGGAAAAACAATGGTAGATAAGATATCTCTGCTTGTTGTACCTTCGGGAAAAGGATGAAATTAGAACTTAAACTAAGCCGGAAAGACGTTGGATGTAACTTAAGTATTTATGTCAAACAACCATCTATTACAAAAACTTAATCCTTCAAGACGCCCCCTCACGTGAAGCAAGTGAAAATCTTTTAATAATTTAGGTGGCGGCGAGATTTCATATGGAAAAACTATTTAATCCAAAAGCTTAAGCTATTAGAAATTGTGTAACTTAAGTATTTATACTTTAATAATGTGTCTGGTCCCATGTTCAAGTCTCCTCTCCTCCCCGCATCGTGTGACTGAGTGACACACAAAATTCTGATCATTTCTTGATGTCCCCAGAAAAATAAAGATAAACATTCCAAAACAACCATGATAGAATTTGATTCATTCACAGTTCTACAAAACCAAACTTATGTGCGATCCAAACATAACACAAGCTTATTGCAATTCGAAAATAAAACTCTCATGTCAGTAAGGATTTCGCACTCCGATGTGAAATACTACGAACACATGGAAGCCTAATATTGACTTGGATAGCATAATTAGAATTAAATTTCAAAGGGAAACACAGAGAATTGTATACATAGATAAAAGAGAGTAGGAGTGAACCTTCGGTAGTTGAGCTTGCGAGGTGCAGTGAAGGATGTGCCGGAGATCTGTTCGGCGTAAAGGCCGTAGGGACATATGAGAGGGCTGTTCTGACCCTGAGGGAGAGCTCCGGCGATGGCCTCCGACGAGAGGTGGTTTCCGAAACCGGAAAGATACTCCAAATCCGCCGGAAAATCGGGACACTTGGTGGTGGTGGTGTTCTCCATGGTTACCTCAAATTGACAAGCAGAAAGAAGGATAGAAACGCAAATTATAGGAAAGTGTAAATGAGAGTGAGAAAGTGTGATCGGGTGGGTGGGACCGTGGGCGGCGGACTACTGTGATCGCCGTGGCATGTTGATCCGTTTCCGTTACGAAGAGACGTGTATTGTTGAGAAAACTACTCCTCCGGTATAGAACTGTATACTACTGTACACTTCATTCAATTCTCATATTTAAGTAAATAAATGGATTAATCCTAAACTATGAGATTTATTTTATTTTAGTCCCTAATATTTTAATTATATTATTTTGATTTTCGAAGTATTAAATATATAAAATAGAAAGTGTTCAGATTGATAATAATTTTTAATTATAAACTGGCTACGTGATGCCTAAATATAGAAAAAAATAATAATTTGGGTAACTCTTGACCTAATTTTTTTTTCCAAATTTTAGTCAAAGAGTTATCCAAATTATAAAAATTTGGTCATGAACTATCTAAATTTGGGTCAAGAGTTACTAAAATTACACATTTTTTTGTCAAAAGTTAGCCAAATTTTGCTCAAGTGCTACCTAAATTAATATTGTTATTTTTTCATATTTAAGTATCACGTGACAATTTTATGTTCAAAAACTATGAGCAATTTGCATATTGTCTGCTTGAAGGATTAAATAGAAATATATTCAATACTTCAAAGAATAAACTGATACAATTAAAATATTAGAGACTAAAATAAAACAAACTCTATATTTTTGGAGTTTTTGTGCAATTAATTATAAATAAATCAATCAACAAATGGATTTTAGTCAAGTTTATTATATTGCCTTTTGGCTTTTTTATATAAAAAAATATATATTTTATCGAAATAATATGATCTCTAATATTTCTTTTAATTTATTTTTTGATGAATTACCAATTATATATGTAATATACAATCAGCCTGTCATTCATTAATAATGGATTAATCGACAACAAGAGAGCTGGAGTAAAAAAATATCTGAAGCTTCTACTTTTGACTTGTTTTATATTCCTTTCTTCACATTTTACTCTCTCCCATTTATTATTTTATAAATTAACAAAAATATTTAGGAATTATTAGGGATTAAAGTGTAATTTATCTTGTTTGTAATCCAGCTGTTATCTGAATCTGACTGACCCAGCATTGTTTGGGTCAGTAAGCAGATCCTTCAGCCCATTCCAAGACAAGCCCAACAAAAACTCTCTGAGTGTGTTCGGCAAAGGAGATAAAATGGGAGAAACCCAATTGGATTGGGTTTCTTATCCGGTGGCCCACATATCTTTGGTTTTGATCTATTTTTGTCAATGGGATACTCGTTGGACTCAATTCCTCGGCCCGCAGTAATTTCCCTCCTTTATCCCATCTAATCCACTTTATTATATTCTACAATAACTTTGGGATTAGTTAGCCCAGTTATCGGATTGGGCTTGTAATTATTAGAATACACCTGTACAATACCAAATGTAGGGTTTTTATCTCTCACATATTTTTGTCTTCTTCACTTCAGTTCTTCTCATTGGTCCTTCTTCCCGCAAGTAGCGCGTAGTGGTCCCCCAGTGCAAGGTATTTCTCTCTTTCTCTCTCTCTCTCTTTTTCAATTTTGATTTCCTATTTCATCCTTAATTATTATCATAAAGTCAGTTATACGTATTTTTCAATCTTACATACTTATTTGACTTCTAAAATATTAATTAGATAAACTTTATCAAAATATTACCTAAATAAATTTTATCAAAATATTAGGTAGAGAAACTTTATCTCTATGGGTTGGTAGATAAACTTTATCTCTAAATTCTTGCTTTTTCATTCAATTCTACAAACTCTACTAGAATTCTAATACCACATATTGATAATTTTTAGGTCCTATTTGACTTCCAAAATATTAGGTAGATAATTTTTATCAAAATATTATCTAGATAAACTTCATCAAAATATTAGGTACATGCACTTTATCTCTATGACTTGGTAGATAAATTTTATCTCTAAATTTTTTTTTTCCATTCAATTCTACAAACTCTACTAGAATTCTAATACCACGTAGGTAATTTTTAGGTGATAAACACAACCATTCATATAGGTCTATAGCTTGGTGAGAGGGACTTGGATTTCATCCCGATGCTCGGTGGTCTTTAGATTTTGCGGCCGGTGAATTCGAGTTTATCTCACAAGATTGCTTTGCAAAGGTGTATCGAGCAGGCAAAACTTTGGCGTTTGAAGTTTGATCAGCCCGTTGAAGCAAATTCAACCATTATTTTTATGAATTAGTTCTTCCAATTTGTCAATTTGCAAATTTGGGGATTTCCTTATGTTCTTTAATTTATGGTTTATTTTGTAAAATCTAAGTTGAGAGATCCTAAAAGATTTCAAGCTAGCTGCAAAAAAAAAAAAAAGAACTGGAAGAGCTTGTCTAGTTAAGTTCAATGCGAAAGCCAAGAGTTAATGCAAATGTCAGTGTATCAATTACTATTACTTTTACTATTATATCATATATTTGTTTTGAAGTATTTTGTTTGGTTCTTTGCATGTTTAACTATTTTCTGGTATTATGTTTCTAAATCATTGTTTGATTACTATTTACACAAACAAAATATATTCTTAATAGGTTGGAGTATTGTTGAACCAATACTATGCAAACCAGGTTTTTATTGAATTGATAGTTTATCAATTCCTATGTTTTAGTTTATTAATTCTTATGTTTACGTTAAAATTTTATATGTTAGTGTTTCTTTATTTTATTACAATGAGATAAAATATAAATTGTCATATGATTTATAACTGTCACATTCTTCTAATCTTGATCTATATATTCTCAAATCGACAAAAAAAATTGATAGCAATCTTAGGTCCACATGAAAACCAATTAAATACCAAGAAATACATGGAATAACTAAAAGTGTATAATAATGTCGAATATTTCAGTCGTTAGTACTTGACGTAGAAAATATTATACTTTTAATGCTAGAAGAAATAGTCTAAACACCATATACCGTAAAAAATATTTGAAAAAATTAAAAGATTAAGTGTTTTTTTTCTTGGTATTTTAATTATTCACTTACCTTTACAAAAAATAATTCAATTTTATTACAAAAAATAATTTAATTTTATTACTCATCAACTTTGTATTTCAAATAAATTTAATAACAAATTAATAAACTAAATTTTTTTCACGTGCAACGCACGTGTGGATTGCTAATATATATATATATATATATATATATCTCACTATCTCTGTGTATATATATATACAAGATTTACAACCCGCAAACAAACCTCACCAAATAAAAGGTTCTGGACTTCAATTTTTAAAGCAAAGGTCATCCCACATACACTCTCTGTGCTTCTTCTAGCAGACCCAACAAGTAAAACACTAGCCTAAGATGCATAATGCTCCGAAGTGGGCTCAATGTGGCATAGGGTCTCATTGAAATCAGAGAAATGTTTTTCTTGAACTACTGAATGTGGGCTCACAATGTTTTCAGCATCAAAGAGACTCTTTGCCAAAAATCCACCGTAAAACTTTGGAGAACCAAGAAAGATGAAATGAGTTTTTGAGTTGGAGAAGGCAGAGAGCTGTTGTCAGCCATAATAACTTGGGTGTCACTTTTAACTATGGTACATGTTGGACCATGGAGGCTGAGTTCAGGGACTATTTGTATGGATTGTGCTTGGTTGAACAATATGACGCAGTTGATTGTAAATTTGTGAAAGACACGGTTTCCATGGTGCATGTAAACAATTATGCTAGTTGTTAGACTAAAAAAATGAGCTCAATTTTTTATGATAAAGGATAACACAACTTGACTGTATGTATGTTGTATATATTTTTTTCTTTATAACAAAAGTTTTGTTTTTTTTTATATGTTTTGAAGGAGGTTTGGGTTTAGAATTGTACCGGCTTCTTGTACTATTTTTTGGTGATTGGAAATACTTTTTTCTTCTTTTATTTTTTATATATATAAAAAACCTTTAATTAGTACTATACTTCATGTGAATTTGGGTTGTGACGTAATTTTTCGTATATTCAGACATTTTTTGTCCTAAATTTTTTAATATCTTTGACGGATGAAATAAATTTGTGAGCGTGTTTTAATATCAACGTGTAATAATGTGCATTTGGTGAATACATAAGCATTCTTATATTTTTCATAATATTAAATTGGTAACTAAAAATGATCAAAAAGTAACAAAAAAAAAAGTGATAACCAATCGCATCTCAATTATATCATAATACACTATTCAAACGTACGATTAGATAACACAACTTCATTTCCTTACAAATTTAGTCCATTGAAATTTCGTTGGACTGGATTTAAATCCAAGGCTGGCCAATCCACCCATGAATTGTCAAACACCACATCCGGGAATGGGAACCCATCACCCGAGTAAGGTTTTACCCACACACTAACAGGTACGTGCTGCTTCCCGCTTCTTATCCAGTTTGCTTCTCTCTTCCATCGGCGGTTCACTCTCTTCTCCCTCATCTTCGCGCTCCTCGGACTCTATCTCTCTCTACCTCTCATTTAACAACCCCCCAAAAAAAAATGCCTTCTGCCCCAAACCCCCCTTTATCTCGCTCTGTACAAGCCACCCAGCGACACACATTGGGTGTCTTAGTGAGCTGGGTTTANATTCGCTACCGCCACATTGTATCACCACATCCAGCAGCCGTCACCGCCAAGGCACTCACCAGAGCCACCGACAAGGCACGCAGGGCACGAACCCAGGTATATCTCTCTCTTTATCTCTCAATCCACAGTCCCACACCCTATCTCCATCCTTTTGACTCTCTTTCATCCCCCTCCCTCCACCATAGACCCACAGCCCCATACGTCAGAGGTTATGTTATGTTTCACATGGTGTAAAAGGTTATGTCAGAGGTTATGTTTCACATGGTGTAAAAGGTTTCTTATATGAATGAGCCGGGACCTCATGAAAACCCACCAACATGCACAGATTGTTGGGTGTTGGAAGCAAAATAGATCACTAAAAAAACAGAAAAAACAGAAGATAAAAATCTGCTAAATATCCACACTAATTTCACCCAAGAAACTCCTCTATATTTCATAAAGGATTATCACAATATCAAGGAATACAAAAGGGTAGAACAATCTGATTTTTTTCCAGCAGTAAACACTCAAAGAAACACAAAGAAATAGAGCTTCT